AAAATTAAAGTTCGTCTTCTGTCTCCGAACTACTATTTTCTAGAGAATCCATACTATCAGTGTCACTATCTTCCTGCAAATGTATTATTAAATCGTCTACAATAAAGTCTAGAGCTGGTTCCTTTTCCATATAATAACTCTCATAAGAAATAGCATGCTCGCAATATTTTTTTCCACTCATCTTGGGAAAATTTGCAGAAAAACTCATCACAATATGTTTCAACATTTTTAAATTTAAAATCTACATTTTTATTTGCCACATATTGTTTTAGAGCAGCCCACACTAACTCAATTGGATTTAAGTCCGCGTGGTAGGGAGGTAGTCTTAAGACAGAGTGACCTGCATTGTTCATAATTTGATCTATTTTATAAGTTTTATTTCTGGGTTTGTGAATTTTTATTAGATTATATAATTCTGCTTTTATCATTTCGTCTGAAAAGGAAATGTTCTTTTGTCTTAACCATTCCTTCATTTCGTCTTTTCTACACCCCATAGTGGGAATTTTTGCACTTGGACATTGTGGTATGATGCATTGTCTATAACCAATACACTACGGGCTGGTATATTAGGAATAAGTTTTTCATGAATCCATTTTTTATAATTATTATAGTTCATTTCGCTATGATAATCTCCAGACTTCGTACCAGATTTAAATGTCAAACATGCGTTTTTTATGAACCCCATTTGGCCGCCGGCGTGAACAATAATCGCCTTTGCCCTTTGGACACTGGCTTGTGCAAACTTCGGTGGTATTGTCTCCCCAGTATCTGTCATGGGTATGAGAGGAATGAATATAAGTTTCATCCATGTAAATTATGGGCCGATTTTCTTCCCTATATTGTTTAATATTTCTGAGAAACTTCCTCCGGAGCACTTGTATATCGGGTTTTTCCATTAGGATTTTCCTGTTATTCTTCGCTTTCTTCCATCAAAATCCTATATCTCTCATCACTTTTCTCAAAGTTTCATGCGACCCTGTATAAATATTGTCTTCATTAATTTTTTTTGTTATATGTCGCAATGTAGGAACTCGTTTTTCCGTGACATAATAATTTATTATTATACGCCGAAGTAAACCTTTGTCAAAATCGCTAAGTTGGATTTTGGGGCAGATCTCATTCTTTCGTTAGGCGTCGAAAATGATGTAGAAGCACCTTCTTCTATATCTTTCATTTGACGAGAGATCCGTTTTATAGTGGCTATACTTACTCCCGTTTACTAAGGAAGCACGCTCAGTACATTTGCTATTATCTCCCTCGTTTGTCCAGACAAGACTTTGCCTTCTAATTTTGAATGAAAATCCATGTTTATAATTTAAAATACTTAACAATAAATATTTAAAAAGTCAAATCTATTGTAATACGATATTTCTTCAACACACAGTAACTTTAAACATAACTAAATTAAAATAACTTTGTCACAGACTATACAAGTACCTTGCACTTCGAAGGCCAAGAAATAATAAGGACGAATTGTGTTGTGGTCGAATGTGCATCGTGGAAGGAGCCTAATTTCAAATCGGCGAAGTATTACGTTAAACTTGACAAGCAATACCAATTGCAATATCGCCATGGATAACTGGTTTTCGTCGTGTGAATTAGCCGAAAAATTATTAGAACAGGGTTTAACAATGGTTGGAACACTTAAAAAAATAACAGAGAAATACCTACACAATATTTGGAAACGAAGCGATCAGAAATTCCGTCCTTAGCATTTGCATTTACGCAAAAGTTGACACTAATATCACATGTTCCAAAACGAAACAAATGCGTTCTGTTAATCAGTTCTATGCACTGGTTAGAGGAAGTTACCAAAAGATGTAGTTACCAAAAAAATAGAAATAATTATATTCTACAACAGCACTAAGGAGGGCGTCGATACCTTTCCATCAACTGTGTCATGCAAAAACACAAATTGTTGCAGTTGATCTTGATCATATGCAACAAAGAATGAATAACATACGGCTTCCGAAAAAGTTAAGAAAAATCTATTTGGGATTTCCAGCCAAAATACCCACTGTAAATCCTCAGAAACGAAATCGTCGATGTTATTATTGTCCAAGAAGTACCGATAGAAAAGGCCGCCATATTTGTGTCTATTGTGAAAAAAATATGTGTGCAGAACACCAATTTAGTATTTGTGGAGATTGTAAATAATATAAGAATAAACTATTCAATTCCTAACTTTTTTAATTTACTTTTGATATCTTAAAAAGTATTTGTCAAATATAAGTGCTTTTATATTTTGACTCACACTGTATATTAGTTTTGCTTGTTGTTAAATAACAATATATTTTCTGATTAGAAATTAAATCATTTAGTAATTTTTTTGACAAATAACTTTAAAAAACATTAAAATGTCTTTTCCACCAATATCACCTTGTGGTTATAGGGTTAAGTATATGGAGCTTGACATTATTATACAGAGTATATAACGACTTATGATCATTTTTATTTCGATATCGCTATATATAAAGAAGGAACAAATATATTATGATTTATTTTACATAATAAGGTAAATAATATTGTACCGTTTTTAAATAAAACGAGCGGTTCGAATTTATATAAATATATTTATTTATAACTTTACAGTTCGGTATTCTCTTATCAACTAAACTTATTCCTAAGATCGTTACATATATATACCAAAGTTACTATTTTCTAGAAAGTTCCCACCTCTAGGCGTACGCGACTGATCTTTCTCGAAATATCGAGTCGCTTTCGAGATGCCGCCGCATGGAAGCATGAGGTGCTGTTTCGAGATGCAACTGTTATACATGCCTCGTTGAATGCACGTTCGTAACAATATGTTCTAGTTTTCAAGTTAGGTTTAACAGAAATCATTGACAAATATTCATATACAGGGTCAACTACAAAAGAAAATTAGGATTTTCTCAATTTTTTTTTAATATGCAACCCTACATTTTATTTTTTTAAAATATTGCATTAAAATAGGATGATCTTTCATTTTTATTAAGTATTTCTAATACCTACCTTTATTACTTTCCCAGCTATTTTTAGTTTTCGTCAAATATAGGGAATTCCTTTTTTGTAAGTAAATATAACATGTATATTATGTAAATATAACTTGTATTATTTAATAAACTAATCCAAAACAAAAAAATAATAAAGATAAGATTTAAACATCGAGTTAGAATCTATGGAGAGGGCATCACGTGACTAAAAACGACCTAACTTCGGCCATATTGGTATTATTGTTTTGAAACTTTTGACAGATCGTATATGTTTGGTTATATTTGTTGTTTTTTGAATATTTTCAGTTTTATAATAATTTTATAGAAACTGTAATATATTGTGATAGTGCATAATAATGGTTTCTTGTTCTCAACGTAGTTGCAGTAGCAGAAGTAATGTTAATAAAAAATCTTCAGGAATATCGTTCCACAGGTTAGTATACAAATATGTAAACAAAGTAATGGCCCGTACTTCAGAGAATAAATTAATACTCTTTGACTGTATTAATTTATCTTTATATATAATATATCGTGTTTTTAGTGTTTACCGCGGGATAAATAAATCATAGTTTATTAAAAATGTATTGCACTTTTTTAGATTATGATTAAATCTTCTGAATAACTACTCATATTTGTTTAGTAGTTTTATTATTATTGAGTCTGGCCCTGATGTCACCGCCATATTTCTATTATTGTTAGCCACTCTTACCTATGTCGTTTTTAATATATACGTTAATATGCTCATAGCTTCTCCATAGATTCTAACTCGATGGATTTAAATTACAAAAAAAATCAATGTCTGAATGTCAGTATGGGTTTATAATCCACAGATGTCACAAATTCACTAATTAAGTCACGTAACCAGAATTTTATACTGTGGAAAAAATAAAAAATCAGAACAGAATACAGAATGTTATTTCGTATCCCATAATTACATAATTTAGATATTCATTTCAAAGATAGCACCTTGTCAGACTTTTTTGCAGACCTGTAACCAAACTATAACGTTATACGTCAGATATTCAATCAACGGTTATGCTTTAAAATTACCTCATACTGCGTACAGTCTTTTGCTCTTTTGTCTTTTTGCTCGATGATAAATACACATTCCTGTAGTAGAACTCAACTTTATAACCTATTCGATGATATATGTTATATTAGATATTCTATCTTATCTAACCGAACCCTACCAAAGCTCACCGACGCAGTGTTGCCACTACCAAAGATTTATTTTTGTTAGATATACTTCGAAAAAAGAACCAAAAATTTGGTAGAAATGTATAGATTTAAATTCAAATCGCATTTTTAGTAAGACTTGCTAAAAGCATTGATTTTTTTGGGAAATAACACATAGTTGCAACAACCCTTCACATCACAATCAGTAGGTACTTGGAGCAACGAAATACGTACGAAGTATACATTCGGAAAGTAGAAAAAAATCTTAGCTTTACGAATATTTATTATACATTTAAAGATTAGCAGTCGCTACTCGAACTCGCTAGTACTGCAAATTCATCGTGATTCCAGACAATTTCCACAAGTTAACCAAACCATTCAATTCGTGATTATAAAATATACATGATAAGGTTACATACTTTTTTAAAATAGCCGAAAATTCTTGTTTTTTTCAATATTTTTCATTTCTCTTAAAATAAACGTTCAGAACTTAAAGGATAATTTTATACCAAATTATTATAATAAATTATTATAAGACCAAATTTTCCGATTTTTGAATGGGAAATCAGTAGAAAAAAGTAGATCTACAGATCAATTATTATTGCCGAATTGGTAGATCTTCCCAAAAACGGTTGAGATGGCATCACAGCCTAAAGGCGCGGTTTCGTAAGAAGCTCCGTCGGCGAAAACCGAACGCAGCCAGCCGACTTCGGTTCACAATCAGTGAGAATTTTAAATGCTGGCGTTATCATTGTGCTTCGCTGCAGTCAGTAACGGAAAATTCCATTGACCTTTCGTTTTCAGCTATCGGTTACGTTCAGTCGCATGTAAATTTCTACGGACATCAAAATGATGAAAAAAATGAATCAAAAATTTACATTTGCCGAAGATGAGCTATTAATTGACTTAGTTAAACAACATCCTGCGCTTTATAACTGCAAATTAAAAAGTTATAGGGACATTGTTTTGAGAAATAAGATATGGAAACAGGTTGGTGCCAGTCTGAATAAATCAGGTAAGTCAAAATAAATTAACACGTTGAATGTCATATTTTATTGATGAGAAAAATCCATTAGAATTAATTGTAGGGTTTGTAAAACTTTTATTTCCACCCTTTCTAACGGTGTACCACCTATTGTAATTTGGGTGTTTATATTGATGTTCTTACTAATTATCATTATTTTTGTCTTCTTGCAATTTAGTTTTATGCCGTATTTGTTACATGTTTCTACAACGTTTTCCATCATCCTTTGGAGTCCCTGCGCACTATCTGCCAGCAACACTGTATCGTCTGCATATCTAATATTGTGTATAAGTTCTAATATCTAATCTTTCGATTCGTCCAAGGCCACTCTAAAGATGTTTTTAGAGTATATGTTAAATAACGCTGGTGACAGTATGCAACCCTGTCTAACTCCTTTTTGACTGTGAAGATCTCGGACAGTTCATTTTCTAATCATACTGTTGCTTTTGGTTGGAGATATAAGTTTGAGATCAGTCTTATATCCTTACCATCGAGTCCTGATGTTTTTAGGATATCGATTAGTTTCCCATGTGGGACTTTATCAAATGCCTTCTCAAAATCAATGAAACATGCATACACATCGCAGTTGACATCCCTGGACCTCTGTATTAGAACTTGTAAACTAAAAAGTACTTCCCTCGTTCCGAGTCATGTTCTGAATCCAAATTGAATTCTACTCAGGTGTTCTTCTAATTTGTTGTATATGCGCGAAAGAATGATAGTATTTTAACAATAATTTAACATATCTCAAGACATCTTAAATATTTATGTGTGAATGTGTGTAGGCATACTTTCCGATGACTTATATGTCTGTATTTAAAATAATACCAATAAATTTAAATCAAATTACTTTTATTATAAATAAAAATAGAACAAAAATATCTAAATTTCATCAAGATCAACCTCCACTAAATCGGGATCGAGGTCAGGAATATCAGCTATTAACAACTCTCGATAAAAGGGCCAACATTGTTTAACTACGAAGGGCAAAAGCTCCATGGTATTTCTCCGTGGAAGTTTTCCCCTTCTTTCTGTCTCTGTCTCTTTTTGTAAGTCTACAGCTTCTCCTCAGGAACTCCATTTCTACTGCTCTTATTCTACCTCTATTTCTCTTGTTTATTGTCCAGTTTTCGGACCCATATGTCAGAATACTTCTTGTCAGGGTATTATATTAATTACTATTAAACTGGGAATAAGCCACAATTAAAGATAAAAATACGTTTATTGACCTTTCAATTTCCACTTCGGAAATCGTTCTCAAAATACAAACAGTAAATTAAACAAATTTTGTTTTTTGTTACATAGTGAAAAATTCTTCTAATAATTTAATTTTATCTGACTTTACATTATCATTATTTTATCAGACATACATTATGCATTTTAAAGTAGACGACTTTAAAATGATATTGCCAATATTGTTGAGTTGCGCTCCTGGGACGACTTTACTTATAAGATAGTTCATTCGATTACATGAAATCAACTTTAACTTGAGAATATCCGTCAGAAAAAAATCATAGCATGTAATTCGTCTTTAAAAAGACAAACACATGACATGATGACAGTACAATTCTCCTGTTAGTGATTCCATAGTCAATTATGAGGGAAAACCAGGAAAAAAACCTCATAATACTATCCCGACATTGTAAGTATTTGTTCGTGAATTTAGTTTACCTTCAACAAACATCAAAATTCTGATTTTATATGTTACGTTATTTAAAAAACATAAATGACGTATCCTTTATATGTTACTGACTTACTAATACTGGTATTTTCTTATTAATAACTTCCTCTTTCAATATTGGTAACCAGATCCTACTACATTCTGCCGAGGAATTTGCGATACAATTGGCCTCATTTCGCAATATCTTCTGTCATCCTTTTTTGGTATCTTTATTATTAATCCCGTTTTCCATTCTTTGGGGAACTTTTCCTCTCTCCAAACCCTTTTCAAGAGTGGTTGGATTAGCTCTGCCACTGTACCTGGGCAAGCTTTTAACAACTCTGGTGGAATATTGTCAGGGCCGACTGCTTTGTGTGCTTTCAGTTTTTCTATGGCCATTTCTATTTCTTGCGTTGTTGGTTCGTTGGTGTTAATTCTCAGTTGGATATTGGGTATTAGGTTTTCTGCGTCTTCTGGTGGTGTTGGGACTGCACTTAGAGATTCGCTAAAATATTCATGCCATCTTTTGACATGTTCCTGTGGCGCTGTAATATCTTCACCTGTAGCACTTTTTACAATTGGTTGGTGGGTAGTATATCTTTTATTGGCTAGTTGTTTAGTGATATTATATAATTTATATAGTTTAGTGATATTATATATTATAATTTTTTTAGCAGTTTAGCTCTAGTATATTGTAGTATTTTGTTACGTTTGAATGAATAATATTCAGTCATATTTTTTTTTCAGAAAACGATTGTAAGGCAAGATGGAAACACATACGAGACTACTATAGAAAGAGAAGAAACGAGGCAATGAAAGAATTGGGCACAAGTTCACAAACAATGGAGAACAGTGACTTCTTTAAAAAAAATCAGAACTTATTGTTTTTGGAGAACACGGCTATAGCAGAAACAGAGTAAGTTTGATGTAGATAATTTATTTGTATTTTTTATTAACCAGTTTTTATTTCAGAACCTTAAGCAGCCTTGAAAATAGTAATTTAATAGATGAAAACCTCGAGTCTTCATATACAGTGAAGGTATTGAATAGTGACGAAGAAGTACCGGGGGGTAGTGAAACGATCCAAGATTCGCCTGTAGAAGAAACAGCTATCCAATTACCGATAGACGCGGAAACAAATATCAGCATGGAAGTTCATGAAAACGCTAGAGAAACGAGTAAAACATCGTCACGAACAAAATCCAAAAGGAAATATCGAACCTTTGAAGAAAATATCTGTATGGAGCTAAAAAAAAGTCGTGAAGGGAAAACGGAACTCTCGAGAAATATTTTACCTATTGAATATCCTCCTCTGAATCCAGCCATCACGACTTTTTTTCAAAGCATCGCAACAACTGTTAATAGTTTTATACCACAACTGCAAGCTAGAGCCAAAATGCAGATTATGAACATTGTGGGCCAGTTAGAGCTAGAAAATATATCTCAACAGGAGAGCATGGCACAACCTACTTGCCCACATTATACTACCAGCGAAATATATTCAAGACCTTCTTCCAGTGGCGGATCAGAATGTCACACTGATATTTCTCATTCGTATTCGCAAACCCAGTCTGTTAGTTCAAACATCAACGTGAAGTTAGAAAATTAAATGTTTAGTTTTATTTTTTTTTATTTTTAGTATTCCTGTTTTATAATATTAGCTTTTATTTTTAATTAATAAATTACACAGACCTACCTTTTTATTTTCATGAAAAAGTGTTTTAAGTTGAATAGGTGTCCTATAGTAAATGGAATGTGCTGATCACGAACCTATACTTAGTTTTTTTCCAGCACGTCAGGTTTTCAAGAAAAGTGTGTTTGAAATTTTTCATAGAAACTCCCCAAAAATTTTGAGAAAATATTTATTGAAACCTTATTCAATATAATATTACTCTGAAAAATTAAGTTGTTAAAAAAAAGAAGAATTCAGTATAACCTACGTTAGACAATATTTGTTGTTTTTTTTAATAAAACCGTTCTCTTTTTTAATGAAAACTGCATTTTGTGGTCTTCTTTATATGGATTTTTGTGATCTAGTCTCTTTTCAAGGTCTAGCAGGAATCAGCCATCATTTTATATCCCATCTTCCTTGGTAACTCTTTCCATCTCCCTTATATCTTGATGGAATCTTTCTCTAGCTCCTCGATGACAGCTGCAAGATTTTCGAAATAGAAATCAGTTTTCAGGAAGTAGAAATAGACCAGACGGAATAACCAACGAGCTTCTAAAATACGGAGGAGAAAGTAGAACCCTAGAGATGACAAAACTTATACAAAAACTAATATTGCACTGGAAGATACCAGACGCATGCAGAAACAGCGTAATGATACCAATGTTCAAGAAAGGAGATAAAGAACACTCCAACAATCAATAAACTAACAACTTTATCAGATGAACAACAAGGATTAAACCAGCATATCTATGTTTTATAGACCTGACAAAGCTTTCGATCGCATCCAAGTCGAAGACGTCTTACACCTACTGTATAAAAGAAGCATATATATATATATATATATATATATATATTATATATATCCGGTTTTTTAGGCGTTACACCCGTTCGGTAGGGATCTATGGAGGAGTATCACCGAGCCGCAAGCCCTTATCTCTTGCCGTACTGCTCCACCATAGCCCGATCAGATTCCAGCATATCCTAGTCTAAGCCGCAGATTCATCTAGAATTTTAAACTGCTGCGTTAGACTTTTTGTTTTCTGTACACCGAGCTGGGCTCGATCCCACATCCACTGAACCATTCGACAGTGAAGCGAATGAGAGGCAGCCGCACAGCCCGCTGAGCTATCTGACCGACCTAAAAGAAACATACCAATTATACAAACCATCGAAAGCATCTACCTCCATAATCGAATACAGGCAAAGATATATGGAAAACTAACACAGTGTATACCAGTACAAAGCGGAGTCAGACAGGGTGACTCGTTAAGCCCACTTCTCTTTAATATAATAATAGACGAAATAATACAAGCAGTACGTAAAGGTCATGGCTACAGAATGGAGAACAAAGAAATCCAAATATTATGTTATGCAGACGACGCCGCATTAATCGCCGAGATAGAAGACGAGCTCTAAAGAATAACACATATCTTTAATACAACAGCTAAGAAATACAATATGATAATATCAGCAGAAAAATCCAAATGTATGACAACATCTAAATACCCACTACGTTGTAAAATCGAAGATGTTGAAGAAGAAGTACGACAGTAAAGCTTAAAAGCAAGCGGCGGGTTCTTTTAATGACACAATCTGGAAGAACAAACACCTAAGACAAGACACAAAAACAAGAGTCTATAAAGCAGCAATTAGACCTATATTAACATACACGGCGGAGACAAGACCTTACACATTTAAAACGAGACGACTGCTAGAAACAACAGAGATGAAAATACTCCGACGAATATCAGGGAGAAGTCTGGATAGGGAGAGAAGCAAAAACATAAGAAGAGCATGCAATATAGAAGACATAAATGGATGTGTGACAAAACGAAAACAGGAGTGGAACGAACACATCAGTAGAATGGCAGAAGATGGAATAGTACGAATAGCACGAGATAAGTCACCAAATGGACGAAGAAGTATTGACAGACCAAGAAAAAGGTGGTGCGACAATTTAAACAATCTATAAGGCTTATATTGAAGAAGAAACAGGCTTCAAAGCCTACATACTAGAAGGAAGAAGAAGAAGAAGATCACTACATCAGAAACTTCCTAATCTAATCTCGGTGGCAAATAAACCACATTAAGTGAGTCAGCATTTTCACAATCTGAGTCTTCTTCTAACAAAGCTATTAACTCTTTAGTAGTTAGTGCCATCTTCATTTCATATTTCGAGAATATACTGAAATAAACAAATGCACTACTATATAAACGCATTCACATGATAATAGTTTAGCTTACTTCATTTTAATTTATATAAACTTTATAATATATTTTCATATTTATATAAACAAACAAACACAAGGAAACTTTCAAATTAAGTTAAAAAAAACAAATATAACGTTTACAGCACACAGCAATTCTATAAATAGAGAATGATGTGTAATTAAAATTGTAGATTGTTTTTAGTCTAATGAAAAAAAAAGTTTTTTCCAAAATTTTCTGTTTTTTTGAGGTTCTGTATTAGATACTCTCTAATAAGAATAAAGTTTTACTTTATTTTGTTAGACAACTATAAAATACCTGTTAAAAGAGACATGATAATTTAATAATTAAATCGGTCAGCAGATTTGTATGAGTGATAATGATATTATTTTGATTATTATCGTGGCTGAATGGATCAAGTTATCCAAAGCCATTAATTAAATAAAAAAAAACATGTTGATTTCAAGATCCCAATTTGGTTATTTTAGTTTTTTTTTTATTTTTAGGTTTGCTGGGAATTTGGAAAAATTGTTCAGTATCATATACTTTACGTTCATTATAATGTGTTTATTAGCGTTTTGTATGACGTTATTTATGATTTCAGTTGTAAGTACCTACATAATACATAAAAAATATCTATTTTTTCTTTCGTTTATTTATATAGTATTGTATTGTTTATTGTTATTTATTAAATTAAATTTTTACTATTTCCTTTTTCAGTCCGATAAGTTTTCATATCAAATATTTCATTTGGTGTTTTATCAGTTGTCTATATTTGTAATGCTGTTCGTTCCCTGTTGGTTTTCAACTCAACTGACTATAAAGGTAAGACATTTTAATTTCTAAAAAAATCTTCAGGTTTAATTACTACAGTACGTTACTACAATACACAAATCAAATTTTAACCGCGACCTTCTGCTACCAAGAAGCTGTCATAATTATTATTTCACTTCCACGTTACTTCTACTTTGGTAGCAATGACGTTGGCAACTAATTTTCGCTAACATCAAACCATTTCATCAATGTTTTTTCGATTAATTTTAAAATATTTATCTTTATTTATTTACATGATATAATATATAGTTTTATATTTACATTTATTAGTTATAGACGAAGAAACATGTGAAATGAATATGATTTAAGTTGTTTGAATAGGAAATATGCGACCTTTATAACTCTTTTCTAATTGTTTTCGTATAGAATCAAAAATTTTTTGCAGTTTTTTTATATTTGCTAATCTGGAAACCATATCTGGGTTATAATCATTTTTGGTTTTGTTGTGCAATCTATTTTTAGAGGACTAGTGTTTACAATAGCTCACATATTCTCGATTGGATTAAGATCTAATGAGTTTCTTGGCCGTTCAAGGTAAGTGTTGTATGTTTTTGTTTTTGAAATACATATGACATGGATCTTGTTGAAAAACTGCTTTATAGTTAGCGTTACTTTTCTCTGTTCAATTTCCAATATATGTTCTAGCTAATCTATATTTTTGCTGAGTGCTTGAGCAGTACGAGCTGTCAGATGTTTTGTACCAAGAATGGCTCTCATATAAGAATACTTTGGACAATCTTTAAGATTCCAGCATAAATATTGTTCTCCAATTGTTCGTTTCTTTATCATAGAAGAAATTAATATCTGTTTTGTAGTTTGCCTGTTTTTTTTTTGGTTTTACCTTCTATTAATCGTTTTCGTTAGCGCTTGCCGAGGTCAGTGAGGTCCTTATAATAAACGGTGAGCCACTTAATAACATAAGATATGCTGACGATACCGTCCTTCTGGCAGAAACACTAGAAGAACTGCAACACCGTGCTGAGCTACTAAATAAATATTGCAACGATTATGGACTAAAAATAAATTTGAAGAAAACCAAGTTCGTGGTATTTACAAAAGCATAAAACATCAAAGTTAAGCTAGTACTAGATAATACAGAAATTGAACACATATCTTCGTACAAATACCTTGGGATCACAGAAGATACTGATCAGACAAAAGAAATAAGTTACTGTATTGAAATTGCACGGTCAACTTTTAATAGAATGAGAAAACTTTTTTGTAATCGTGATATCAATATATCGCTCCGGATAAGAATGCTGCGATGTTATATTTTCTTTACCCTTTTGTATGGGGTTGAAGCTTGGACACATGAAAAATCCAACATTAAAAACCTAGAAGCATCCGAAATGTGGTGTTACCGACGTATTTAAAAAATATCATGGATGGATCGCAAAACAAACGAAAAAGTTCTCGAACAACTAGGAAAACAATGCAAAGTTTTAACTTCCATAAAAATCAGGAAACTGGAATACTTGGGGCAGATTATGAGAGGTGAAAAATACGAACTACTAAGGAATATAATGCAGGGTAAAATCAAAGGCAGAAGAAGCGTAGGAAGACGTAAAATCTCATGGCTACGCAATCTTCGTGAATGGTGTGAAAGCAGTTCAATTGAACTATTCAGCCGCGTAACCAACCACAACCAAATTATAATTGCCAGAATGATTTACAATCTCCGATAGGAGCGGAAATTAGTAGCGTATGTAAGTCTGCCCAAGGAATATCTCTTAGAATGAGTGAACACACATCAATGATAATGAACATATATTAAAACAATAATCTTAATGTTCGCCTTAGGATTAGTATTCATCTTCAAAAATAAGAAGGAATAAAGTCCTTAGTTCAACTTACCTTAGCCAAAAAGTAATAGACTCGCGATTATCCGAGTCCCGACTAACAGAGGTAGTAATTGAAAATTACAAATTATGTAATAAATTAGCTTGGAAAGCGAAATCAAGTGAAAGCGTGTGCACTGGCTGTTGGTACGTTGAAGAGATGAGACACTAGCGACTGTTATTGTTGACATTGTTGTAGCCACTATGCTTCTACTGACCGCCTCCCTTCCCACTCCACCACCCGTCAGTTTGAGTCATCACAGCTAGCTGTTCGGTTTGTCCCACTGTAAGCTCTTACAAGTTCATTCATGTCTACTTTTTGTGTAGTGTCTACGTAACCTGAAGTGCAAGATGAGTTTAAAACGTATACGAGCTGTGGTTTCTTTAGAAACAAAATTAAGTGCCATAAAACGCTTGGATAAGGGTGAATGAGTAAAGAAGGTTGCTGCTGAACTAGGTATTGGAGAGGTGACGATGGGAGATTGGAGACGTAAACGAAAATATATAGAACAATGGGTCAATACATGTGTGACTGGTGGAAGTGATTTGTTGCGGAAAACTAGGAAGAAAGAAGAATACGAACAGACTTCTGAGGCCTTATTTTTATGGTTTTCTAATCTTCGAGGCCATATAATTAGAGGACCTAAATACCATTTACTTCGCCTTATAATACAAGGAAAAGTGGAAGGAAAGAGATGGATTGGTCGAAAGAAACTTTCATGGCTGCGTAATATTAGACAATGGTGTGGTTCCACAGTAGAAGAATTATTTCGCGCAGCAGCCGACAGAGAAAGGTTTGAGGAAATTGTAAACATGATGACGGCCAACGTCTGAATACGGACACGGCACCCAAAGAAGAAGAATCTTCGAGGGTTGGGAAGTCCAATTAGTGGCCCCATGCTTTAAGCTAAGGCTGTCAAGTTTCACAAACGGTTAAATGATGACGAGGAAAATTTTACTGCAAGTGATGGTTGGCTCAGATGGACAGATGGACGAAGAGGTATGGCATCCGACAACTAAACATTTCGGGTAAAAACCTTTCGTCCGATTCATCTGAAATTGAGCCGTTTAATTTAAAATTTAGAGATCTCATTTTAGAGCATTACCTCACGTCAGACCAAATCTTCAACTGTGACGAAACGGGTTTAAATTTCAGAATGCTTTCAACCAAAACACTGGTAGCTTAAAATGAAAAAACTGCGCCTGGATACAAAAAAAGCTAAGAACGAGTAACTCTTTTGATGTGCTTCTGGATGCTTAAAATTAAGACCACTACTTATTGAAAAATCGAAGAATCCAAGGGCTTTTAAAAATATTCAAGTAAACTACCTACCCACCATGTACAGGAATCAACATAGTGCGTGGATGAATTGTCAAATTTTTAAAGATTGGTTTTTTGACGAGTTTGTTTGCGTTGTTGAGGCCTACTTAATTAAGAAAAACCTATTAAAATAGCTACTCTTCTTTTCGACAACGCGCCATTTCTTCCAGGTGCAAGTTCGTTGGCTAGCGGTGACATTAAAGCTGTTTTATTGCCACCAAACGTCACATCTCTCATTCAACCGTGGATGAGGGAATGATTGTGACAGTAGCTCTTAAAAAGATCACTGTTAAGGATGTGTCTTACTGGATAGCTTCAGCGTGGGATGATGTGAGAGTAAAAACTTCGCAAAAGTCATGGCGGAAGCTTATTCAAATTGAAACGAAAAGTGATGAAAAATGTAACAATAACTGTATTGTTGAAACAGTAGACCATGCTAATCAATTATATATGATAATCAATGTCACTGAGGATGACACAGATGAGATAATTGAGAAAATATCTCACTCCGAAGGATTGAAGGCGATTTGAGCTGCTTTGGCCTACATTGAGCAAAAGGAAAAGTTAATTACTACCGATGTCGTTCATCTTCAGCGTTGGTGCCACATCGCAGCGTCAAAACGAGACCAGAAGTTGACGCAGAAATCTATCAAAGACTTTTAAAACGTGAAGATGATCCAGTACGTAAATGTTTTCATATCTATATTATTTAACTATATAATTTGTATACAGGTTTACATACTTCAATTGTACATAATAAACTAATTACATACGTCATAACTTTTGAATTTTTGTTTATTTTAAGCAAATATCAGATCTTCGCGTTATTCGAGGCATGTGCGCTCCCAATTATCTCGGATAATCGTGAGTTTACTGTAAATTAAAAAAAAAAAAAAAACAACAACAAAAATACAACACGTCGGTAACTTGTATCTGCTGTTACTCTCTGATTCTTGTCATTACTGCGTAACAGTTTCCAATATTATTTTCTAAAAAGCAGTTTTTTATAGAGAAAATTTATATTTCTAGAGTGAAAAGATTCCCTTTGCTGCATACTCCAGTCCTTGGACTGGAGCTTCCAAAAGTTTTAAAAACGAATTGATGATATTCCTACTTAACTCCCAAGAACCAATTCAATTAAAAGCAATGGACATTGTAGATTTATCTTTGGAGACCTATATGGCGGTAAGTTGTCATCGAAATCATCAATTTTTATTTTTACAGCCAATATTTTGTAAATATAATCATTCTTATAGTGGCTTCCCACGATCGGCAATTCTAGTATTCTCCAGATCATCGCGGACAGCCGATCAGCACGGACGGCAACGCACCACAGACAGAGCTCTTCCTACGGTCCGTGACAGTCTGTGTAGGTCCGTGTCAGTAGTGTTTGATTATATCATAAAAAGGCCACTCAGGCTTGTAAACATCATCAGCCCCACTACCAGTTCCCATCGATTCTCTAACTTTTGTTTTTTGCCTTCTGTATGTCGACATTAAATTATCTCGATTTTTAAATCTTTAATCGAAATAGTAATATTCTTCAATTGATTTTTTATTCGGTTCCATGCATCGTATGCATCATTCCGGTTATTATGTTCTGGCGCCGTGGAATTCCATAAACTTCGTTCATCTTGATCGCGGCTTTTGATGAGAACCATGCGCCTTCGGCGGTTTTATGACTTCTGACTTTCTGACGGCACATCAGTAATAGATATCTCGTGCTTTAACACAGACGTGTGACTGTTTTGCAGCGGTTTTATTTGATTACTTTTGTGAGTGTTTGCCAAATTTTGTATATATTATGGAAGTTATAGAAATCGATAAATTAATTACCGAATTTCACACACAGCCAGCAATTTTATTCGCTCAAATGAATATTTGAATAAAATAAAGAAAAAACATGCTTGGGAAGAGATTACCCACAGTTTTTATTTCGGAAGATGCTTTTCTGGGCCGTCTTTAATTTCGTTAACTAACGTGTAAACATTCCTCTATTTTCTCATTCATTTACCATAGGATGTATCCAATACTTGCGTTTCTTCTTCTTTCTTGATCTAATATGAAGTAAACTTGCACTTATTAGGAAAAACAAATCGTCGTCACTTGCACTAGATGATTCAAGAGACATCATCATACAATTCTACGTCCAAAACTCGATTAAATTTGACAACAACGAATACAATAGCAAAACTACTTCCACTGTTAAACGGCCTCATGTGTTTTAAGCCGCGCGGCAGCCGCCGAGGTGCAGAAGCGGCGCAAACCGCCCTGTCTATGTTTAACCTTAGTAAAAAGCTCAAAACCTACCAAACCTCTGCAGTCAAATGGATCTCAATGAAAACTTATTGCATTCGATTCGTAGACGTGTCAGGAAATTTATTTTTTTTTTAATTATTTTTTAGATAGGATGATAATAGTGTAATATAACTTGTTATAATTTTGTTTTAGATTGTGAAATCGTCATTTTCTTACTACACCGTACTAAATAACCTCATATTTGATGAATAATAAAATTGCTGCTATTAATATTTTCACAACGAATAACATAAATATTCTTCATTTTATCTTTGTTTTGGCACCACAATAAAAGAAAAATGGATTCAGAAGCACCAAGAGAAAATACTTCATCACACTCCTCACAGTAGTTGTAAAATTTTATTATAGGTTATATAGTTTTAAAGATAAGGATATTAAATAAATTTTTATTATGAAATTTTTCTTATTACATAATCGACACCACCGATTAAGATCCTAAAAACATAATTTTTCATAAAAGTAATTTCAAAATTAAAAGCTGTAATAAAATAAATAAATTGTCTAAATGAAAGAGATCAACCAATTAAAAATGAATAAATAATAAAAATAAAGTCACTATAATAAATTAAACCAAACAGTTATGGAGACATATCTGATGAAGAACTTTAAACCTATTTAGGCTATTTACTTTAACGCAAAAGTGTAGATGCCGTTAAAAAATACATTAGGTTCAAAGAATGATCAAGCCCCACTGCAACCTTAGAAGTAATGCTGGACCTTCTTTCTTCTTTGCATAAAAAGGATCACATTAGAAAGAGCTTTTAGGATAACAGGGGCTCGACATCTAAAATCCGACGACCCGACTGGAGATTTTAGAGGTTTAGCTTTAAGAGAGTTTAAGGGTTTGAACAGCGCAATCCATGAATATGCTTACACAAATTATGTTTACAAAAACACATGAAGAAGTAGGACTACAAGACTACTCTTAGAGGTTACTGATCCTAACACCAAACTGTCAATAGTTCTCAGAAATACTCCTAAATTATCTTAAGGATAACAGATAGAAATCGATAGGTGCTTAAAAAACGCCTTAATTCAGCTAAAATTTCTATTTTTCAAACAGTTAAGATGCATTGAAGCTTCTGAAGTTTACAACGTATGAGTAGGTAAGAATTTGGAACTGTGAACAGTCCCTTAATCCACTGAGAGAACACTACAAACTAACTTTGCTGTGGATGATACAACATAAGGGAATTAGTAGTAATGAGATTTCTGAGTCTGATGAATTGCTGAGATTGAAATAGTCAATTTAAATGACGTTATCCACTTATTGTATACAAGAGAGATAACTCTACGAATAATCAAAATGATCGAAAATATCTACCAAAACAGCACAATAAAAGTAGAAGAAGGACTAACTTACTCTATTGAAGCTAATCTTGCCAAGCTGGTAATGGGATAAGATAGCGAGATTCCCCGAGTCCTCTATTGTTCAACCTGATTATGGATGAAATAATAAAAAAAAGTAAAAACTGAAAACGGATATCAAATGGGAGAAAAACAACTTAAAATAATTTGTTATCTTCTTCTTTACGGGCCATCTTCGCGACGGAGGTTGGCAATTATCATGCCTCTTCTGATCGTAGATGCTTCCGCTCTGAATAGTTCCATGAGATTCTTCTACTTTCTACACTTCTCTTGCCCTGGACTTTCCCTTGTATAATTAATTGAACTATGTTGTATCTTTCATTACGCATAACATTCCCCAGGTATTGCCGCTTTCGTGATTTGATCGTTTCCAATATTTGCATTCTTCTGTTGCCTTTTCTTATGACTTTGTTACATGCTTGGTCCATGATATCTTCAGGATTCTTTTATACACCCTCAGTTCAAATGCTTCCAGCTTTTTAGTAGTCGACGCGTTAAGTGTCCACGCTTCTATCCCGTAAAGCAGAGTCGAAAAAATATAACACCTTGCCAGCCTAACTCTCACTCTCAAGTCTGATTTCAGTTCTCTTGCACAAAGTACCTTTCTCAATTTATTGAAGTTTGTTCGTGATTTCTCTATTCGAACTTTGATCTCTTTGGAGTAATCGTTTATGTGATTAATTATTGTGACAAGATAATTGTAGTTTTCAACTTGTTCCAAAGTTTAACCGTTAATTGTAAAGGTTTCATCATTATTTTGGGTTTTTGATATCCTCATAAATTTAGTTTTCTTGATGTTTATTGATAATCCATATTCTTCTCCATACTCAACTATCTTATTCATTAGCTTTTGGAGGTCTTGAAGGTTGTCTGTTATTAGGATATTAGGGAGTTTTTGTAACCACCTAACGTAACGTATCTCCCTATACGTAAAGAACTAACGTATCGAAGAAGATGAACGTTAAATTGAGAGTTTTTGTTCTGCATGTAACGTAACGATGGTGTTGCCCTCATCGAATTAGTGATAAACTAATAAATTGTCGTTGTCAGTGCCTGTCTTGTACTTGTCACTTAACCCCATTTTTGATATTCAAAATAACAAATATTTTTTAAACAATTTTTAATTTTGGAGATGGACGCAATAATAAATGTAGGTGCCATTATTGATGATGAGGAAGACGAGGACATAGAAAATCCGCTTCTTCTCCACATCTTGCACGACTATACGGCCGCTTTAATTTACATACCATGTCTGATATACAATGTAAAAATCTTTTTCGCTTTTGGAATAAATTTCACCTTTCTGGATGATCGCAAGGGTTCTGGCTTATGGTTTCTTTAAACAAAAACATTCATTACATCATCTTCATTACTGAAGTGAAGTCGTTTTCTACTGTTTTCCATTATTTATAAAAATCAAAACAAATATACTTAACCACAAATGTGGATGTTGATATTTTGGTAATCGGGTAAGATCCCTTGTGCATTCGGTAATTTTCGGCTCGATAGGGATGCGTATGAACGCAACGTACCAGCCCGTTACGTTAGGTAAGACGTATCTAGATACGTTGGTTCAATCATTAATGCGCATGCTTATATGTCAAAAAGATACGTTACGTATACGTATTTGCTTGCACAAAAACTCCCTATTATCGTCCGCATATCTAATGTTGTTAATTGGTGTTCCATTGACCTCTATTCCTGCTGTTTCTCCCTCAAGAGCTCTTTTCATAATTTTCAGAGTATGCATTGAATAGTAGTGGTGACAATACACACACTTGTCGCACTCTTCTTTTAATTTCGAACTCTTTTGATGTTCATTAATGCGTATGTGTGTCTGCAATTTATAATATAGATTTGTTATAATTCGAAGGTCATTGTATTGTAATTGTTTTGCTTTAAGGACGTCCATAAGTTCTTTGATGTATCAAGACTCGAATAATGGTTAGAAAATGAGAAAAATAAACTTAGTGTAGCCTAATGTGAACATATTCCAGATCTAAGGCAAGCAAAACGATAAGCTAACCTACATATATGTTGGTAGTGGGCATTGCTTACTCATATACAATCTCTCTAAAATATGGGAAAATTTAGAGGAAATGATCGAAATGTATGATCCGCCGCTGCAGGACATTTGTTTGTCATCGCCATTATTATCTGAAATAGGCCTTTTTAGATCCTGTCCAGGTAAAAAATATCCGTTCTAAATGGATAATAGGCTTTCTTAGAAGCCTACCATGGCATCTTCAACACGGAACGTGTTACCCATGGATACAGGATGCAAATGTAATAGTATTTTCTCAATACCTTAAGCACGATATTATTTTCTGTCAATATTTTGTATTATTCCTAAGCAGTCACTAAACTATGACTCTCTTGATTATTGTCCCAATTATAAACACGACCAATAACATAAATAACTCAAGGGGATGTGGTAATTAAAAAAAGGTTGACCACAAACAACACCTAATAAAATTCGAGTAAACCGGCCTTCCAATTCGGCCTCCCAAAATGGTTTGACTTTCCGGCATCATTTCGAAAGCTCAGTGAGTCGCGTGGGAGAGCTTTGCGAGATGCGCCGCCATCATCCTCGCCACGTGGGAATCCGTTGGAGGAGCTTTAATCGCCTTTTGGAGCTTTCCAAACTTTAGTTTGGCACTTTCAGCCGCCTCATCCTGTCCTTAAGGGCTGCCGCGTTCGCGGGAGTGCAACAGGAGGTCGCGCGCGACGCGAAATGTAGGAAAAACTTTGGATGTATTTTTTAGGTACGCGAAAAACGAAAGTACGTCGAATGGTGTTTTTTTAAGTGAAGGTTCGTTCTATTGGACCTGTGGGACATCGGAAGTAAGTTGGATGTTCTTTTCAGACGAATCTAAATAAATACGTGGCAAATGAAAAGTTTACATAAATATTTGCTTTTCTTTAATTTTCATGGTATATACAAGCTGTCCCATTTTATTCTGAAATAATTACTTAGTAACTCGATATTTTTATATTTTTAACATATAATATGCTCTACATTTAATTAAGTACAATGCTCTCGATTTATTACATAATATAATTGGGACAATGTGAATTGCCATTATTTGTCATAAATTTTACATACTTATAAAAGCATTCTTAAATGTATTGTTAACATATGTTTGTATTTTTTTGCAGATTTTTATGTACCATATATGAATAGTAATATACTGTTCGATTCAAGATATTTCTGATTTAATCCTCTAGGTATACTTGTATACAGGATTGGACTTATATACTGATATATTTTATCAAAATTACGGCAACTCCACAAAGTAAAAGAAAAATACATAATATAAGTAATACTTTTATATTAAAATATATATTTAACATAGTGAAAAAAATAGCACCGACAAGGGTGGTTTTAAGGGTTGAAATATTATGATATTATCTCAAGCATAAACTAATCAGTATTTAACTAATAAATTCCAAATATTAACCATATTAAAATTTAAAATGTTTAAATTGTTTAAATTTTATAATTTTTGACAATTAGTGGTAGTTTTTCACCCTTAAAAAACCAAAAGCATATAACGGCTTGATATCAAAAATGAGCAAGAGGGTGAAATGAGCCTAATCCCAAATTTTTGTACAAATCATTGCTGGACGAAAAAATTGCAAGGTTTTGGAATTTTTTTAGCTTCATTTCCTTACTACTTCTCCTTACTATTAGCTTACTTTTTTATGAAACTGTTGAATTGAAAGATTTAAAAGGTCAATTGGTTTAGATAAAAGGCGCTTGTAAAATTCGAATTTTAAATGTATATAGTATAATAACTTGAGAGTTTATACTTTTTTTTAAT